CGTCTGTTTGTTAACGGGGCGCGGGTGTCCCTGTCCGTGGCTCCCCTAGCTGCCATCTTCGGGGACCCATGGGTTCCGGGGAAAGACAGTCAAGAGTCCAGCCGAGGGGAGGCGTCCTTAGGGGGGAGCGGCTCCTCTGTCCTGGGGTTTCTCTCTCCCGGTGGGAGCCCCGGGGAGGCCTCCGGAGGGCTCAGCAGTCTTCACTGGGGTCCCCGTGTGCCCTCCGCAGGTGGACCCACGGAAGTGAGGGTAGAGGGCCGGTCAGTCTCTGGTCGGTTTCATCTTTAAGGAATGCCATTGAAGAGGGGCCAGGACTGTCTGCAGCGAGCATGTCAAACTCCTGGCCCTCGGGCCGCATGCGGCCCACAAGGAATGTTTTTGGGGCCCAGCCAATACAACGGTATGTAAGGAACGTTTTAATAAAAACTTTGTAACTTAGTTTTTACAATATCCTCTTATACATCATATTAATAATGAACTACAACGTTCGCTAGCGACTGATGATTATGGTCGTGTTGCATTCATTTCCCTTACGCACCTTACGCTCAGGCGCACCATTTCTCTCCACTAATACCAGCAGCAAAAATTTTAGCAGCCGATGGCCATGTCATTAGTCTAGTACTGACTTGTTGGGTGTGCGCAACAGGAAATATTTCGCTTTCGGAGAAACAGAAAAATAGGTTTATTTGTGTGACACTTATTCCTTTGTGCAGTTATTCAGTGTCTGGTAAGTGAATGTTCAAGAAAAAATATTGATTTTTATTAAAATGTTCTATTATTTTATGTTAATGATGACTCATTTATTTGTATTCAGCATGTCTCTATCGAAATAAACTGACGTTTCTATGAAAATGGAAGCTTTTGGTTTTTTGCAGCCACATCCACTTAAACCTTGTGTATTTGGGCTGTGGTAGCCTGTGAGTTTGATGTGCGTGGTCTGGAGAGTGTAAATGATTTGCTCCCAAGTGTCCCTGGTGAGGGGAAAAGAGACTGTGATTCAGTAGCTGGCAAGAGCCATCATTAATTGCCAGGTGGCTGAGTGAAAGGTTGACCTAGTCTCAAAGTGTCACTCACAGGTTACTTATTAATCACGGAGACACCTGGCACCAGCCACCTGAACCACACAACCCAACTGACCCTCGGCGATGGGACAAAGGGGCATCGCGCCGCCTCCCGCCATGATGCATGGAGACACGACACCATCCGTGTAGCAGTTACCTGCCCCGAAGTGCACAACCTCAATGCAAGAGCGAGGAAAACAGCCAAACCCCAAGCGAGAGACAGCAGCTAACACTGGCCGTGGCTCTTTACCCTGTCCCGTCATGGAGGACCGAGAAGATACAACAAAGCGAGTTAAGAAGACGGAGTCCCTGCTCTAGATGAAGGCAGGCTCAGGAGCCATGACCACGAAATGCACCCGTGGTTTCCTGGTAGGATCCCGGGTTTTTTTAGAAAAGCTAGCGAGCACCTCACTGGGACATTGGGGACACTGAATACGGACAAGATATCAGATGCTAGTGTTGCACTGATAGAGTTTGGGTGCGTGTAGTTGAGGCAAGTTGAAACTCATGAGAACACTGTGAACAACGTGATCACGCCCCGACTTTGCCTCGTGGCATCTGCTATAAAATAAAGACACGGCTTGTGGGCATCGGCGCTGTCTCCTCATCAGGGAGCAGCGTCCCACCGAGACCCAGCTTCCATGTCTGTCTTTAATCCTTTCACCCCCCCCCCACACTCGGGATCACCCTTGGTCGTGCTGGTGTGGCACAAGGGGGGAGTGGGGGGGTACACACATACACAGAGGGGAGAGGAACGATGACGTCTGCTGAATCTCCGTAGATGGGTGTCCCTTTCGTGTAGATTCAACCGGTTGGTTGGTTTGACATTTTTTTCAAATAAAAAAACTGCAGGAAAAAAAAACAAAGGTTTCTGTGAGGAACACAGAGAAGTGCCACCCAGATCCCCTGGCACCCCAGATGTGGAACGCGGGGTCCTGCAGGCACCTGCAGCTGCCCACCTCTCTCCAGCACCGCCTGGTTGGACAGCGGCCTAGCTCAAGGCCAGGCCCTTGCCAGGATGACCCTGTCCCATGGCTGATGGGTGTCCCGTGGCTGATGGGGGCAGGAGTACAGGGTTGGGCCATTCCTGCCCAGAGGGACGACTCTGAGGGGCTCTCTCGCCCATCAGAGCTTCCCACGCGTGTGGCCACAGCCCAGGGGCCTCTGCTTGGCAGCTCAGCTTCTCCCTGCGCCAAGCCGCGCGGCTTCCTCCCCCGCATCTCTGCACAGGGCTAGGAACACCCTACTCCAAAGTGCAGGTGCGGCCGCCTCCTGGGATCCGACCTGTGATGGCCTCCTAGCAGAGCCCCGCCTGCCAGCCCCAGGGGACACAGCTCCGCGCGCGCGCGCGCGCGCACACACCTGTGACCCGCCTTTAGTCCCGCCCACAACTCCCACCACCTGCCGCCTGTACACCTACTCGATTGCCTACTGGCTACTGCCTCCCGCCCCCAAAGCAGGGATCTGGTCCGTTTTGCGGACCGGCACCGGGACCCTGGATGCTCTGCCCTTGCTCGCGCCTCTGGAGCCCCGCTGGCAGAGGGGGAAACTGAGGCAAAGGACGCAGCTTGCCCGCGACCACGCGGCTGACGCGCGGCAGACCCTCGCGCGGG